CTGGAGGGCATTAGAATGTTCAACGGGCTTCTACAGGACTTCGAAGAGTTCGTCGGACTGCTTGAAGACTTCTGGGTGGGGGATAAAAGGAGGCGTGTTTAAGTTCGACTAGACTTCAAGTGGAGATTCCTCAGGTCCTGACGTTATGTTCCCTGAAGCATGAGCAGAATTCCTGAGAGCAGCGGGAGAAACCACGCCTGCTGACCCAGCACCGGTCAGGGCTCAGCGGTCAGCCTCAGCACACGTCTCGAGGTCTGATACCTGAGGCGTCATGAGGAGGTTATGAAACAGTCATTAACATACGGATCTCGAGAAGGTGACCACGCATAAAGTCATGGCTTACGTTTAAGCTTTTCTGATGCGCAAACGTTTAAACGAGAATAAGTGTTATTGAAATACAGACAAAGAGTGTCTTCGGTGTTAACAGGCGTCCCGACATGGGAGTCACCTGAGGTGTGGCGACGTGTCGACCCGACCAAGTGTCTGACCGACTGAGACTGCTGATTCCCACCAACCGACGTGGGAGTCACCTGAGGTGTGGCGACGTGTCGACCCGACCAAGTGTCCGACCGACTGAGACTGCTGATTCCCACCAACCTTGTCCATGAGGCGCTTGCTGATGGCGTGCTGTACCTCACTGACAAACCGCTGACACTACTGCCACCTTATGTTCCCTAGCATTAACCTCCTCCAGAACAGAGGCGGGCGAAGCTTTCAGAAATGTGCCGGCCTGGTGGTGGCTCGGCCTAGCAACAGCGCGGGTGTGTGATCTTGTCAGAGCTGTGTGTAGGGACGTCTTCACGGCTTGTAGCTATCAGGGGGACAGAAGGCATGTTTGGCTCATCGAGATCCCCATACCGGCCATGCCACAGGATCCTACAACAGTCGCCTGAGACAGCTACTTATTCACTATCCCTCAACACGAGCCACAAGCCAGCGTGCCCCAGACGTGGCTTTCTTCATGGGTCAGTGCCATGAGCCACAAGGCAGCGTGCCATCTGCACATAATGTTAAAGCATCTGTTATACTGGCTGTACACCTGCGTTCTGATGGGATGACCTTGGAAGCCATAACTTCGTGTTGACCTCACAGTGCCAAATGTCCCGGAATACTGGCACTGTAGCGTCTCTCTCATGCCATCTTCAAGCCAAAGATATGCCAAAAATAGTGCCGTTTCAACCATCAAAACTTCACAAGATGCCGCTCGAAACAGTGAGAGGAAATTTTTTATTGGGGCTAAATAACGACTGAAAATTGAAAATATTCACAAACTACATAACATTGGCACAAGCACTGTAATCATCATAGGTAATAGTGTCACATGTATATTTGAGTATATATACTCAGACAAGTAACCCCTCACACCCACACACACACACACACACACACACACACACACACACACACACACACACACACACACACACACACACACACACACACACACACACACACACACACACACACACACACACACACACACACACACACACACACACACACACACACACACACACACATGAAGACAAATGAGTGGCGACGTTTCGGTCTGTCATGGACTATTATCAATTCGTGTGAGATCGACTTTTCGGTCCACGAGGGATCGAAACGTCGTCATCCTCCTTTCTCTTCACAATAATGTGTGTGTGTGTGTGTGTGTTTTGGGTTGCTTGTCCAAGTTGCTTTTTTTCATGCTCATTAACGTGACACAGACGCAGCATATGCTGAGCCATGTGCACCAGCTGGCCTGTGCCTCGGCCCAGCACGTGCTCATCGATCAATGCTTTCCAAAGCAAGCATAGCTATCATCTCGTGAAGCACCACGCTGTAAAATCAAGTGGAAATCATACGGGCTGTATCATCCTAAGGTCCTTTTGACAACATGAAGCCAGCGAAGACCTGAAAAGGCACTTAATGGTCATTATGCATGACTCTGACTGTCTGGACACCTGAGTCCTTATATACGGGTCCCTATATACGGGTCCCTATATATGGGTCCCTATATACGGGTTCCTTTATACGGGTCCCTATATACGGGTTCTTATATATGGGTCAATATTTTTGATGCACTACTAACAATCGTCCTCGACTGATATATAGGCTATTATAGCCTTCAACACCTGTGAAACACTCAACACCTGTGAAACACTCTACATCTAACATGAAAACTGTCTTTAAAAGTTTGTGTAAGTAATCATTGAGAACCTTGCATATCACATATGTAAGACTAGTCCTGGAGTATGCAGCTCCAGGTGTGGAGTCTATTCAGTTACAAGACAAAGTTGGAGAAACTTCAGGTGCATGTCACCAGACTACTCCCAGAACTATGAGGTATGAGTTGAGCTGAGCTTCACGTCGCTGGAAAACAGAAGAGTTGAAAGAGACATGATTATAATATACAAAATTCTCAGAGGAATTGTTAAGGTTAGATAAAGACAGACTATTTAGCACGGGTGGTACTCGCTCAAGGAAACACTGAGTATCCAAATGAGCCACAGAGACATTAGACAAAATTTGTTCAGTATTAGCGTAATTAACAATTGAAATGTACTATGAAATGATTTTCAAATGTAGTTTCAGTTTCACATATATATTATCGCCCAATAGGCTCAGGAACCTGTACCCCAGTTGATTGATAGTTGAGAGGCGGGACCAAAGAGCCGAAGCTCAATCCCCAGCAAGCACAATTACGTGAGTAGACCTGTGTGCTTACGTAAATGTGCTTATACCACCACACAACAACGTTCGCTGTTTGTGAGGTGGTCTCCAAGTTTTCCTGCTGGGTGCGAGAAAGACAAAACAACAACATGGTGGATCATACCTCCAGAGCGCCAAGGTTGCACATCTTTGGGGGAGACTCTTATGTTTGCTCACGTGACTCGTCTTCTTGGGGCCAGACCTGGGACCTTCTTCTTAGGTCTTCTTGGGACCTTCTTCTTAGGTCTTCTTGGGGCCAGACCTGGGGCCTTCTTCTTAGGTCTTCTTGGGTCCAGACTTGGGACCTTCTTAGGTCTTCTTCAGGCCAAACCTGGGACCTTCCTCCCCAGGTCTTCTTGAGGCCTGAAAGACTTGTTTAGGTGAGATTAAGCAAGTCAACAGGTCTTAACTGACCTTCCTGCATGGGGTTATCTTGCAAGTTTGGCGACCACTTGGGATCCCTGCTCCGTATAGCGACCACTTGGGACCCCTGCTCCGTATAGCGACCACTTGGGACCCCTGCTCCGTATAGCGACCACTTGGGACCGCTGCTCCGTATAGCGACCACTTGGGACTCCTGCTCCGTATAGCGACCACTTGGGACCCCTGCTCCGTATAGCGACCACTTGGGACCCCTGCTCCGTATAGCGACCACTTGGGACCCCTGCTCCGTATAGCGACCACTTGGGACCCCTGCTCCGTATAGCGACCACTTGGGACCCCTGCTCCGTATAGCGACCACTCGCAACCTAAGCTTAAATATGCACAATATGCTAATGTATAATCATATTAATTTGCATTTGAGAAATTGTTAATGAACTTAATGTTAAAACTGATGAATGCATGTTTTTGGTCGACCGCTGCATGGAATAAACATTCCCTGCAACCAGTCCTCAGGACAGGCTCGTTAAAGCGGCGGCCAATTTCTCTCCCCCCCCCCACTCCCGTCAAAAGACGAATTCATCAATTTTTAACATACTGTGTATTAAATATAGGTTTGTTCTCATATATAAATTAATATTATTACATAATAAAGTGCTGTGTATAGTCAGGCATAATTATTAAGTTAGATTAGGTTAGGTGTTTAGGCAACTCGTCCTCAGAGCAAGTCCATTCCATCCAGCGGGTGACCCCAAAGACGCATTCGTCAATTTTAAAATGCTGTTCATTCAAAACAGAAATGTTCTCAAATGTAAATTAATATTATAATATATAAACATACTGTGCATATATAGGCATAGGTTAGGTGTTTAGGTTCTGTTGGCGATTATTTGTATTTGTAGTACGTGGGGTGAAGCATTTCAACCCGTCCTCGACTCAAGTCCATTACATCACAGCCCGTCCTCCAAACAAAGACCCAAAAGTCCATTCCATGCACCCGCCAAACCCTCTGTTTATGAATGAAAAACGGTTTACACCCGACTCACAACTGATTTCGTTCGAACACTTCCGGAACAAGTGCTTCACTGACGACTTTTGTTCGAGCCACAACGCTGTAAATGCTTCACCCACGTATTACAAATACAAATAATCGCCAACAGAACCTAAACACCTAACCTAACCTATATATGTATATATATATATATATATATATATATATATATATATATATATATATATATATATATATATATATATATATATATATATATATATATATATATATAATATATAATTTATATTTGAGAACATTCCCTTTTTGAATGAACAGCATGTTTAAATGTATGAATGCGTCTGTGGGGTCGACCGCTGGATGGAATGGACTTAAGTCGAGGACGGGTTGACTGTTTGAGAAGTGTTCGAACATCATCAGTTGTGAGTCGTGTGTAAAGCGTTTTCATTCATAAACCAGGGGAGTTTGGCAGCTGTATTGAATGAACATATAGTCATGAGTGTTGTGTTGCGACAACCATGCGTGTGGTGTTGCAGGTGTTGCGTGTCAACCATGAGTGTGGTGTTGCAGGTGTTGCGTGTCAACCATGCGTGTGGTGTTGCAGGTGTTGCGTGTCAACCATGAGTGTGGTGTTGCAGGTGTTGCGTGTCAACCATGCGTGTGGTGTTGCAGGTGTTGCGTGTCAACCATGAGTGTGGTGTTGCAGGTGTTGCGTGTCAACCATGAGTGTGGTGTTGCAGGTGTTGCGTGTCAACCATGAGTGTGGTGTTGCAGGTGTTGCGTGTCAACCATGAGTGTGGTGTTGCAGGTGTTGCGTGTCAATCATGCGTGTGGTGTTGCAGGTGTTGCGTGTCAACCATGCGTGTGGTGTTGCAGGTGTTGCGTGTCAACCATGAGTGTGGTGTTGCAGGTGTTGCGTGTCAACCATGAGTGTGGTGCTCCTGGTGCTGCTGGCGCTTCTGGCGGGGAGCCGGGCGGCGCCACAGTCAAGACAGGCGGGCTTCCTGGACAACGTGGGGCCACTACCCGTATGGAACAGTCCCCCCGAGACGCCGCCCAGAGAGCTCATCCTCCCCGACGACTTCACCATCATCGGGCCGTGTCTCACCACCATCCTCACCCTCATATGCAATGGCACTTACGCTACGTCAAATATAGACAGAGGTGAGTATCACAGTGTGTTCTTGGGGGAATAAGATTAGACTACAGGTACTGCTTATCCGTCTGTAGGCCGTCTCTCTCATGTTCCTCGTAGAAGACTTAGGGAGATAGTTCCCTTGCATTGTGTACCATCTCCTGTCAACCTTTTCATCGCCTTACACTTTCTGGTAATGAATTCTAGTATTCTTACTGGTATTGAATTTCTACCAGCTTCTCTGTGTTTATCAAGATATGGATTTAATGCTGGTGCTGTATAATCCTAAATTGGCCTGGTATGTGTTGTATATGACCCATGGTCTGGTATGTGTATGTGTCTTAAATTTGAGTCTCTATTTAGGGCCACAATTCTTCAAGCATTTATGCAAAGACTTACGAAACCTGTACATCTTTCTTCAATCGTGACAGTTTTGTTTACATTTATTGAATAGATTTTGAGCTCCGAAGCTCTACAAGGTTGTCTATAACAATAATAACCTTGGGTTGGGAAGTTTCCAAGCTCGTAAACTGTTTAATAAATGTAAATAAATCTGCCATGATTAACGAGAGATGAACAGGTTTCGTAAGTGTTGCACAAATGCTTTGTGAATCCTGGTGTAGGACTCTTAAGGCAGGTCTTGTGTTTGCCAAGTTTATATATATATATATATATATATATATATATATATATATATATATATATATATATATATATATATATATAACTCACGATATCTGTTAAATGTAGGCCTTGTGAGACAGGTTCAACTCTCTCTCTCTCTCTCTCTCTCTCTCTCTCTCTCTCTCTCTCTCTCTCTCTCTCTCTCTCTCTCTCTCTCTCTCTCTCTCTCTCTCTCTCTCTCTCTCTCTCTCTCTCTCTCTCTCACTCACTCACTCTCTCACTCCACCTCTCCCCCACAGACCAGAGACCGTACAGCCTGGCTTCCTCGGCTGAGGACCGCGGCAAGGAAGCCTTAGCATGCAGGGGCAACAACTGCCGGCTGGACCGGCTGTATGGGTACTGCAACAGGAGCAACTCGCCCTCCACCTTGCAACAATGGGCGACGGAGTCTGAGCAACAGCTAAAATTCGCCTCCTTGCCAAGCCATTATAACATCCACCCGGGATGCAACAGGTAAAGAAGATGGTCAGTCCCATTTTATACCAAACTGTGAGGAGCTTATATGCAAATAAATACATTGACACGCTAGTTCATACACACTTACATGAGTTCGCGCGTTCACAAACACGTACACGGGTTCGCGCGTTCACACAGTAAAAGCCAAATTATGACTGATAACTCCTCTAGTTATGTAGCTACAATGATGGAATTCACAGTATACAATGGGTGGAAGCCACACTATATAATGGTGGAAGCCACAGAATACAGTGACGGAAGTCACAGTATATTAGAATATAAGTCACAGTATATTAGAATATAAGTCACAGTATATTATAGTTGAAGTCAAAGTGTATAATAATGAAAGTCACAGTATACAATGAATATAAGAGCCAGTATATAATGATGAAAGTCACAATAGTTCTTCAAAGTAAAGAGTTCTAAGCAAGTCCTTGTGTCTCCCTTTCACCCCTCCCCCCCCCCCCCACACACACAGACATAACATCGACATGGAGAAGGTGCTGTCAGAGGGCGGGCGCTCTTGCATGAAGAAAGTCGACTGTCTGTGTGACGGCTGCTGCTACTCCACATCCAAGGTGAGGTCTTCACCTTCCCTTATTCCGTTCTAAGGTTTAATGGGCTGAAACTCACATGAAATGTCCCTATTTTCCCCCTCTAGTGTGTGCTCAAATGTCCCCATTTCTTTCTCGTGTGTGTTCAAATGTCCCCATTATTCTCGAGGTATTAGTATAGTCAGTGTGAGTTTAATACGTGTAGTACAATTTATACGAGAAAGGACTATGACCGTTATCCTGTAGCTGCCAACATGAGACAAATTCTTATGAAATTTATATACCTACAATTGTGGTAAAGTAGGTCTACTCAAAAGTCACGTAGGCCATCATAGGCCTCATGTTGTGTATTTGTACACATAACAATAGATATTTTCCTCACATGGTGTTTTGAAAAAAATAAATTAAAAAAATTATGTTCACTTTTTGCATGATGCTGCTGTGACCAGTCACATGTTTTGAGTATTATCTTTCTTCAACAGGCCGAGATGCTCCGGACCATGTTGGAGCGCAAGTATTCTCAGCTACTGGTAAGGAATACCCAAATAAGAAAGGTAAACCTTCCAGCCTCAGTGTAGACTGTATTGTAACGTTGTCCTGATATACAGTAGCCATCTGAGTGAACAGTATCATTTATTCTGGAGGGGGGTAGAAATAGCCTAAGCCAGTATCATTTATTCTGGGGGGTAGAAATAGCCTAAGCCAGTATCATTTATTCTGGGGGGGGGGGAAATAGCCTAAGCCAGTATAATTTATTCTGGGGGATAGAAATAGCCTAAGCTACTCTATCCCTTTGAGATGTATTTCTTTCTTATCTCAATAAACATACTTGAACTTGAACTTTGAATAATTTATTCTCTTGTTTTTTCGCGCATATCATTGGCTGAACATCATGTTTGTCACGCGTACTCCCGCAACAAGTCACTCATATTCCTGCAACATGTTGTCACTCATATTCCTGCAACATGTGGTCACTCATATTCCTGCAGCATGTTGTCACTCATACTCCTACAACATGCTGTCACTCATATTCCTGCAACATGTTGTCACTCATATTCCTGCAACATGTTGTCACTCATACTCCTGCAACATGCTGTCACTCATATTCCTGCAACATGTTGTCACTCATATTCCTGTAACATGTTGTCACTCATATTCCTGCAACATACTGTCACTCATATTCCTGCAACATGTGGTCACTCATATTCCTGTAACATGTTGTTACTCATATTCCTGCAACATACTGTCACTCATATTCCTGCAACATGTGGTCACTCATATTCCTGTAACATGTTGTCACTCATATTCCTGCAACATACTGTCACTCATATTCCTGCAACATGTGGTCACTCATATTCCTGCAACATACTGTCACTCATATTCCTGTAACATGTGAGTTTAGAAGGAGCCTGTAGCTATAAAAATGTGTATACCTGTGCATGGAACTTACATATTTAGACGGACTGAAGTGATCATTGTAATAGAGTTCTGGCTTCCCGAAACCGAGAGGCTGCGCGGGTTCGATTCCCCAGAGTGAGGAATATCGAGATTTTTTTTGTTATTTTTAACGTATAGTCACGTTTTTTTGTTGTTGTTGTTTTCTCTAATATATTAAGGACAGACTTTGGATTCTCAAAAAATGAGTCGTTACTTATAATCAGCCATTCTGTGTTTCAGATACGATTGTTATCGCCAAGAAAAAGTGACTATCGCCGCCCGCCTCCCAAAAATTTCCCCATATCCACCAAGACCAGACACTGATGGCTGCCTCCCCACGCTGGGATCCTCCCTGGCGGCCATGCTGCCCAGGGGATGCAAGTGTTATCCTGCTCCACTACCACACCATGCAAGGAATATTCATGTTATCCTGATCCACGACCACGCCACGTGAGGAATGATTATGTTATCCTACACCCCGACCACACCAAGCAAGGAATAACTCATGCTATCTTAACCCAACACCCTACCCACACACACAAGAGACTACTCCTACAAGTGTCCAAGGAGAGGCAAAACTTGCAGTAAAAAGCATATGTATTAAATAATTACCCAAGCCAGCTGTGGTGTTGTTATGATGCTCTGCGAAGCAGCAATTAGTGCAGACGAGGAGTCACAATAACGTGGCTGAAATATGTTGACCAAACCACACACTAGAAAGTGAAGAGACGACGACGTTTCGGTCCGTCCTGGATCAATCGACTTGAGAATGGTCCAGGACGGACCGAAACGTTGTCGTCCCTTCACTTTCTAGCAATTAGTGTTGTGTGTTTTGAGAGTAAGTTCCGTTGTCAGTACGTGACTTGCTGTAACCCAAGGGAGTTCTACTGTTAATGTAGAACAGTAGAACTTGCTCTACTTGCTCTACTACTCTACAACAGAGTGTATTTTGTGCAATAAGGTATACTGTTGGTGCTACGAGACGGCTCTCTCTCCCTCTCCATATATATATATATATATATATATATATATATATATATATATATATATATATATATATATATATATATATATATATGAGACATATATATGTCTCATATATATGTCTCATATATATATATATATATATATATATATATATATATATATATATATATATATATATAATAAATATATATATATATATATATATATATATATATATATATATATATAATAATAATATATATATGTCGTACCTAGTAGCCAGAACGCACTTGTCAGCCTACTATGCAGGGCCCGATTTGCCTAATAAGCCAAGTTTTCATGAATTTATTGCTTTTCGACTACCTAACCTACCTAACCTAACCTAACCTAACTTTTTCGGCTACCTAACCTAACCTAACCTATAAAGATAGGTTAGGGTAGGTTAGGTAGGGTTGGTTAGGTTCGGTCATATATCTACGTTAATTTTAACTCTAATAAAAAAAAAATTGACCTCATACATAATGAAATGGGTAGCTTTATCATTTTATAAGAAAAAAATTAGAGAAAATATATTAATTCAGGAAAACTTGGCTTATTAGGCAAATCAGGCCTTGCATAGTAGGCTGAGAAGTGCGTTCTGGCTACTAGGTACGACATATATATATATATATATATATATATATATATATATATATATATATATATATATATATATATATATATATATATATATATATATATATATATATATATATATATATATTACCTAGATATTATTATCTAGAGTACCTCCAGAGACCAACGTTGTGCTCCGTGGAAGGTTGTTCAGTGGTGTGTTCTTCGGTAGTGTGTTCACCAGCAGGTTGTTCACCAGCGTGTTCTTACTATTATCGCTGTACTGAGCGAATAATTATGGTTTTGTTACTTTATTGTAAAATTATCGTTGTTGATATTATTACTCTTCTGAAGTATATTTTATTGTATGGTCTCACAGTGCTAGCCGAACCTGCACCATGTGTTTTACATGTGTCTCGTATGTGTATGTATATATCAAGTAGGTATTACAACCGCTCTTTTTTAGAAAAGAAAACATAGGCAAGGTGCCTAACGTAGTGTGGCTCCTGCACTCCTGTAGGCTAAACTTACACTGTGCTTAATTTGGCACAGTCTGCAGCTCACAACTTTGTTCGCCAGCCGCAGGTTGACGACCTTCTTGTTCGCCAGCTGCGGTTTGGCGTCCGTCTTGATCGCCAGCTGCGGTTTGGCGTCCGCCTTGTTCGCCAGCTGCGGTTTGGCGTCCGCCTTGTTCGCCAGCTGCGGTTTGGCGTCCGCCTTATTTGCCAGCTGCGGTTTGGCGTCCGTCTTGTTCGCCAGCTGCGGTTTGGCGTCCGCCTTGTTCGCCAGCTGCGGTTTGGCATCTGCCTTGTTCGCCAGCTGCGGTCTGGCGTCCGCCTTGTTCTCCAGCTGCGGTTTGGCGTCCGCCTTGTTCTCCAGCTGCGGTTTGGCATCCGTCTTGTTCGCCAGCTGCGGGGTGAGGCGTCATCAAGATTTGCCAACCGCAGGCAGGCGGCACAAAATTTCTTGACTGGCATTTAAGTTTTTTCTCCTTTTAAAGAAGAAGTCAGATCACAAATACTCAAATGCGAAGAAATAGTGCATTCTGAAACATTAAAATAGTCATAGGCTAAAATTAATTTCATAATGGAAACAAGATTATGAGAAGTAACAAATGGAGAAATAGTTAGAAATTGCACAAATATGTCACATTATCTCACAAAACTATTCAGAACTTTTAGATAAAATGTCTTTGGGCCTGAAGCAAGAACTGTACACAGCTGTCAGCAGCGTAGCACTTTATGAACTCTACGGCACGTAAGGGTCATAACCTGCCTGGGAGTCTAAGACAGAGTATTCCTCACATACTGTCATGTCCAGAAGAAGACCTAGTATGATCTTCACTCGTAGGTTAAAGAATATATATATAATATATATATATATATATATATATATATATATATATATATATATATATATATATATATATATATATATATATATATATATATATATATATATATATATATATATATATGCCTAATCGGCTCCGTTACTAGGCAGGGCCGCTGTTTTAAATTTTGCAATTCAAACTTTTTCTTCAAAACTAGAAGTTTGCGTGATCCTGATAATCTGGTCTTTATCCTGGTAATCTGATCTTTATCCTGATAATCTTTCTTTATACTCAAAAAGAAAAAAAACGGTTATTAAGTTTCAAGAAGGTGAGGTTCAAGTTCAAGTATGCTTATTGAGACAAGAAAGAAATACATCTCAAAGGGATAAAGTAGCTTAGGCTATTTCTACCCCCCCCCCCCAAAGATGAGGTCACTTTGTGAAACATGTGTATTCTGTTCAGGTCTAGAAAATAATAATAATAATAATAATAATTATAATATCATTGTTGATTTTGAGAATCTGTTTAAACTCTCAGTATTAACAAAATTTGAAGAGAATTCGTGGAGAGGATCACGTGAGCTCTGAAGTTTATCAAGTGTACAAATGAATTCTAGTCTTTAGTGTAAGAGGTCCTGTATCGAATGTAGATATTATTTGAGCGTATTTGTTATTGGTCCTATATAGAATAAATATTATCAGAATGTATTTGTAAGTAGGTCTGCGTAGCTTAAGAGTGTATATAATACTGACCGTATTTGTAAGAAATCTTGTATAGAGTGTAGATATTACTGGCTTTAATCTATAAGAGGTCCTGTGTAGGGTGTATGTATATATATATATATATATATATATATATATATATATATATATATATATATATATATATATATATATATATATATATATATATATATATATATATATACTGAGCGTATTTGTTATTCGTCCTATATAGAGTGTAGATAATAATGTCTAATTTGTAGGTCCTGTGTAGGGTGTAAATATTTTCTGAGCGTCTTTGGTATTAAGCTACATAACACTTATGACCATAATGAAAACATATTGTGTCGGAAACAGTCACTATACCCCATAAAGATACACGTGTATCTGAGTAATCACTGTACTCTACGAAGATACACTTGTATCGAAGCAATCAGTATACACTCGTTTCGATAAAGTTAGTATATCCAAGGAAGATACACGTGTATATTGTTCTCACATCTGTACAATGGTCGTCAGAGATCATGGTCAGCCGTTATTAGGGTCTTCACTGTTACCAGTTCAATACCAGTTGGGTTCAAGCCTCTTGTAGCTACCCATTAACCACTGTCATAATGTTTGTTCAAGAACTATTGCTTCCTAAAATAATTCAAATAGATTTTAGCGTCAGTATTGTATAACAGCTGTATTTATTGTGGAGAATAACTTTATTTGTTATGCACATCTCAGTCAAACTGCGAGCAGTTCTCTTTGTGAACAGCAGCAACAAGCCGCCTCCGGGAACTCACTGTACCCTTAAGAGTTAGGAATGGACAATACTGATGATACAGGACTGTTGAGACATGAGGCCGGGCCATGCTGAGTGCCCCTATGAGTACCACCTTGGCCCACGGGTCGGGGTACTGATGATACTCTATGATTCTTGAGTAATACAAGCGTCGGCGAGTCCAAACATAACAAAGGAAGCAAATGTGCTAAATCTAATCTTGTGAAAGTGTATTCCAGGGATCATCCTTGAGCAGGAGAGCCCTTCGAAACTCTATAAGGACCATCCTTAAACAACATTGATATGATCCTTCAAAACTGTACAAGGTCGTCCTTGAACAATGAGGACATGTTTCAAAATTGTACAAGTGCCATCCTTGAACAGCAAGGATGTGGCCCTTCAGAACTGTACAAATAAACGCCCTCGAGCATCAAAGACACTACACGTACCTGTAGAATTTTATCATCATTAAAGATTTATGAGAATTGTTCTTTTATCATTCCTTCATCTTGTGTAGGCAGCTAACACGGTCAGCCTTATTATACTATCGTCACACTCGGCCCTACTGGGTTATTTTCACAGTCAGCCTTGATAGGCTATCTGTACTCTGCCTTATTAGGCTAGCTTCACAGTCAACCTTACTAGGATATCTTCACACTCAGCCTTACTAGGCATCGTCACAGTTGGCCTTACTAGGCTAGGTTCACAGTCAGCCTTACTAGGCTATCTCCACGCCTTCATTGTGTATAAATGTGTGTGGTGTGTGTGTTTGTGAAAGAGAAAGAGAGTGCGCGCTCACAACACGAGTCATTCACCCTCGCTCCATAAGTCAATATAGTATTAGCTAGTTGCATATTTCATTATTTTCTGTTGCTCGGGTCACGAAGGCCGATATTGACGCTAGTATTTGTGGCGCAGTAGACGTACCTAGTGCTTTCACAACATACCAAGGTCAACATTCATCTGCTTATCTACATACTACAAACATAGTATCAGCCAATATACTGTCCCACTGTCTGTCGATATACGTCACACTGTCATGAACATTCTGCTTAACGCCAGTATTCACCAGAAGAGTTTACTTAAACCGTTGTTTAAACATTGGTAGTCCTCGACACGATGACATACCTCTATCCATAATTATATATAATGTTGGCAAACAGAACTACATACTTGCATAACCCCGTAACCAATCAGTGTTCCATAACAGTCATTAGAATGAAACAATATAAATATACAAGAACAAAGACACACAGTTAATGCCCAATTAGCAACCTGTGTCTATTCACCAACATGTCAAGAAAGTCTATTGCCGCCTGTGGTCTATACACATTTCAAATTTAATAAGTTCAATAAGAGAGAAAATGCCCCACATTACTGCAGATCCAATCTCAGACTCCCAATGGTTTCTTCCAAACACACTAAAGTATTCGTCCATTTCAGATGTTCTCACATATAAGCCCATCCTCATACAATGATGGTAGTTAAGGCAACTATTTGGTTGAACATACAAATAGCCCAAGTGCTAAGACAATGATAATGTAACTAAAGAGCCTAACCCCTAATCTGTCAAAGCAAGCCTAGGGCTAATTTATGCTTTCTGAAGACCTAATATAGTACATATATGTGCAATATCTAGTAACGTTTTTGCCTTAATTTTGTTCGTGCCTCTTCAAAATTATTGGTACAAAACATAGCATTGTTGGCTGCCACAATTAATTTTTGTACGTTCTCCCAAATACTTGATAAAGGTACTATCATTTTAGATGGCTGGGTTGCACATATTTACTAAGCTGCCTCCCATCTTCGTAATGCACCAGTACTAGTGGTCAAGCGCCACCACACAATTTATATGAATGAGAATGAGGTGTACACTTATTAATTAATAAATCATAATAGTCAATAGGTGATTAACTAACTGTTTAATGAGCAATATAAACTAAACCGTAGCTATAAAATGGGCGGGAAGTGTTGCTAACGCGCAGGTCTTGTTATTACGTGTGTTATGTCAATCGACCTTTATAATTAAGCGATTTACACATAAATTAAACGTATATCTATATATATATACAACACTCCGTAATAATGTCTCAGATGAAATTCCTAGATCGGTGAGATGTTTAACGTCCTCAAACAACAATTCAATAAATAATTGTTGTCACCTGAGGCCAAAAACAGCGGGTAACAAGCAGACACAGACAGACAGGTTGACGCAGAGACCAGTCAACCCCCAAAGGAGAAGGTTACGGCTGAGCGTTCTTATCACCCCATGGCTACGTTGCTCTTAATACTATACAGTAACATTTATTATGTGCTCACCATACTCAAGTTAAGGCCTTGTGCGGTCCGGAGACTCAACAGATGCTCACGTCAAGCAACACAGGATCGAAGTTAGTTTCGCTTCTTCCCAAGTCTAAGAGCGCTTAATACTAGTTGTTCACCCCCAAGAGTAAGAATGTTAAATATAGATCAATATTAATGTAGCATAGACTTTATTTTACTAATAGTTAGTGCTTGTAGAATGACATCTTGGCCCAGTACACGAGATACCGGTCTGCCAATCAATAAGGTAAGTGGTATTATTGTTTGTGTTGGGATTTAGCTCCGGGGTCAAGCACTGGATGGAACTTGTTAGGTTATTCAGCCAACAATTTCAGTCTCGATTTGACACCGTAAAAATGCAACTGTGCTGCCTAACCGGAGAATTGGGCGGACCACAGCAACCCGACCACGTCAACACAGACCGAATGCTCATTAATCCCACTAAACACCCTGTTTATATATACTGTATATAAAAAGATTCACACGATTCGAGTGATGTTCTAACGTTTTCGAACTGTTCTTCGCCATAACACACAGAAAATGTACAAAAATACCCGAATCTAACCAATCCTGACCGAGCGACTCACGCACAGAAAACGTGAATGTTTGTAAGCCGCTTTTTGCCCGTACATCATATTTTGTCCGTTGGGGATTTTGATATTAAAATGCGATGTATACGAGAGGACAGGTTGTATAAAAATAGGCCAATTCTCGAGGCTAAACTAGCAATGCCGATGCATAGAAAACGTTAATATTACGACATTTTAACTTTTACTAATACGTCGCAATTTTAAGAATGGTTGAATCCTTAAAATATCCGACGATTAGGTGAGGACTGGTTGATTGACCAAGTGTATGAGTATTATATATACAGTATGGGTAGGACCTACAAAGAAGATTTGTATGGGCGGGACCTACAAAAAAGGATTCGGTGGACTTGATTTTTAACATATTGTTGTGAAGGTTAGTGTAAGAGTGCAGTCTGCCTTCAACTGAGGGGATCATGATTAGCTTCCTAGGCTGCGCGAGACGTCTTGGTACGTCTTTATACACGAGACGTTTTGGTACGTCATCATACATTCTATGCCGATTGATTGATGAAGATTAAGCCACCCAAGAGGTGGACGGGCATGAATTGCCCGTAAGTAGTAATTTTTTGGGGGGGAGTGAATGTGATTTTTGGTCATAAAATTTTATCCCTGTTGTTGTTATTGTTATAGATTCAGCCACTCGGAACAAGTTCCAAGTAGCACGGGCTATGGTGAGCACGTAACTTACCTGGCACAGAAGCGGGGCAAATAGCACGGGCTATGGTGAGCCCGTAGTGGACTTACCTGGCACAGGAACGGGGCTGTAACTGCGTTTTTTTTTATCCCTTTTCACCACGTATTAAATAAGTACCCTGGAGTCAGGCGAATGCTGTAGGTGGTATCCTTTTGAGAGTCAATCGTTGGCTGACGGAGACCCGGGCAAGCCTCACAGTCTTCCAGTCCGCGACAATGGGATATGGCTGGAAATCATCGGTCCAACTTAACACTTAAATTAATAAGAACTGCTAATTAATGCGTCTTAGAGGAGAATCAGATTGTATGTGTTTGTGATACAGCAAGCTCTGAACAGTAAATAATTCAGGACATTCAGGAGGCAAGACCTGTGGTTATTTTGTCTCGTTAAGTTCGTCATATCTTTATTCAAAATATATTAAAAGATTCACTAATACATAAATTCTAAGCCGAACAAATTCAGCAAACTGAATGGACTAAGCTTGGCTGAGTTGCAGTGGTGATAATGGTATAAGCTTAGGTAATGCATAATTATCAATATCAGACTAATATGATTTTTTAATATAAATGGATAATGGATTTGATTTTTTCAGCTAAATCGATAAAAAAGTATATACCTTTATTAATAAAGTTATTATTATTGCATTGTATATAATAACAACCGTCTTGGTTCACATTTTTATTATTTATTTATTTATTGATATACAAGAAGGTACATTGGGGGTTAAGAGAGCACAGAAATGATGTTGATTTTACATTCTTGTAAAGCCACTATCACTCGTTGTTTGTTATTGTTGTTTAAGATTCGCTACTTGAAACAAAAAGTTCCAAGTAGCACGGCTATGGTGAGCCTGTAGCACTATCACTCAGTGTGTCGGGCATTATCGTTCACACTACTATCTCGCGCACACACAAAGGCAGCATCAGGCACAGGTAGACAGCATCGATGCTTGCCTGAGTTCCGGGGATAGGGTGATGTATCTGACGCTATTGCCAGAAGTACCAGATATTTAGTATTAAGTTTCTCGGTTTCCATAATGATTTATATGTCTTGGTACTAGGCATAGCAATGCAGGAGGGAATATATGTACAGTCTAGAATACATATATATATATATATATATATATATATATATATATATATATATATATATATATATATATCCGGTTATTTATATATCTGCAGGTATTGTGGAATATTTGAGGAATGTAGGAATGGTAACACTTTGGGAAGTGCAGTGTGTGTTTGGCCGGGAGGCCGGGAAGGTGGAGCAACACAGCAACAACCTCCCGCTCGGGGGCTGCTCCTCCACCAGTCCCTGAGCTGCTCCTCCACCCATCATCCTCCACCAGCCCGTGAGCTGCTCCTCCACCCATTACCAAGCAGCGACCCGTGAGCTGCTCGTCCGAACACAGCTCAGTACAGTGTCCGTGGGTGTCCTGTGTAAAACAAGCTTTGTGGAGATGAATATAAGTCACTGAGATTCCGACTACAGACTGGAGGCTTATCGTTCACCGCAGCCTGTGGTCATTTCTACCCTTCTTGTAATAGGAAAATGACCACTAATTAACTATCGTCTTAAGGAACATTACTCAAAAGCTCTTACTATGTGCAGCGAAATGGTTTACTGTGGAAATTAGTATATAACAAACTGTATAAGTGCCTAAAGTGAAAATTGGATATATAAATATATATCTTGTTGCGACTCGTTAAAGGCCTAGGACGGGTCGAAACATTCTTATTACATGTGTTGATTGGGCTATTTTCAGCCACGTTGTCGTGACGTATTCTGTGTAACCACCATACGTTGTGCTGGTTATGGGGGAATTATAGGTGGTGTGGTGTGTGTTGTGCCTCACGATGTACGGTGTCACACAGACACTTCAAGGGAAGCGGCCGCTGCCATCAAGAATCCGAAAGACAAAAGTACGCCGCTTTAGGCGTTGTTGTGGTACACTTGTGACGGCTCTTCGGGTATTTTGCTTGCGGCTTCGTGCTGCTGTGCTGGTCCTGGTGGCCAGTTTGGGACTGCCGGTGTTTTACCTGACGTTGCACCTGCTGCTGCGTCCGGGCCTGGCCACGCTTGCCGCCGGCTTCCAGCCAACTCTTTGCATCGTCACCGCCTCCAGCTTCGTCCAGGGCAGGGCAAATTGTAACTGGAGCTCCTGTCGGCAGGGTTGTACAAGCCAAGAGCTCCATTTGTGTTGGCACGTCCTCATTCTGCCTCTCAAAGCAAGGCAGGACTACATGTTTTTTAACCACACATTTTCCCATAATATAAGGGAGATGCTAGACAAAAGTACTCATTCCTTGGAGAAGTTGACAGAGATTACAACAAATAAGACTAAAATGGTGAAGGAGGTACTTTATGAAGCACTTGACGATTCACCTGCCGCTGCCCACACACATGACTATCATCCAACAATCGGTATTGACTTGGTTGACGAAATACAGGTGACGAATGCGTCGTTGTCACCTGGAGACAAGCGGGAGCCAGGGGAAGCTATAGTGAGGCTACAGGTGAACGTGGCGGGATGCGGTTACGGGTCGTGCGAGGCATGGTGGAGGCAGTACGGACGACGGGGCTCCACATTCACCTGCTACCTCAGTGCTGACGCGAGCCTCGCTGTGCCCGACATAGACTACACACTTGTAGCTGTTCAGGTAGTGCTGGGGGTGATGCCGCTGCTGCTCACAGTCTTCGCTAGCATCACCATATACGTATGTTACTGCCGTGAAGATTCCACGGACCGCACTCTCCGACTATCACCCAACCATCAGCAGTTGAAGGTCAAGTCCGAGCAGGCGAGGGCACAAATAGTATTACAAAAGTCGATGGAGAGAGAGGGCGCTCTTCCTACTTTTGACTGTTCTGTCGTGCTGAGCGTCGTGAACAATACCACACCAAGTCAGGTCACGGGTGAGAGTCAGCAAGCCAGGAGCAGAAAACCAAGTGTACCGACTTCCTTGAGTGAGAAGAAAAGACAGTTGAAGGCTGCCAGGCGGTGTCGGCGCGTAGCTGACCTGCCGGCTCAACACCCAGAAATCTCATCTGCTCCAATATTCACAGAGATCACCCTTTATCCTAAATCGAATATCTGATTAGTTACGTTAACTTAAATATACATTAGTGAACGGCGCAAATATCTAAATTAAATATCTTGTGAAGGGATGAAAATTCAGTAATTAAAACATTTTTGAAAACATATCAAGTATTTTAATCCTCATTGACCTTAGTGCACTTAAGAACAGAAAGGGATCAGAGTGCATTATTTTAGTGTATGATATGTTTAAGTACTACAGTATTTCCAGGATAAATAAAACCACTACTGTCTGCCTTCGTTTTAAACTATCAAGTATACCTTAATCCCGAACTGAGTTCAAGATTAAGAAAATTCTTTGCAAATGTAGCGAGAAGTGCACCTGGGATCGAACCCATGCTTCGGTGTTTTGAGGATGAATCTGCAACCTGCCATCCTTATAGTATGTATGCTCGTCCTTCCTATATAGCGTCAGCAAAGGCATATGATGTCATCTTCTCCATACTGTATAATAAAAAAAATATTTTCTCGTCCATAAATTAATATTATATATTATATTTCTTGGCATAGTTGGTCCTAGGTTAGATTGTTTGGTTCTGTCGGTAAACATCTGTGTCTACGTTATGTATGTGAAGCATTTAGAAATCTGCTGCATAGATTGAAACATTTAGAAGTGCTCCTATCATTGAGTGAAGCATTTAGAAGTCTACTTCTATCATTGATTGAAGCATTTAGAAGTCTGCTTCTATCACTGAGTGAAGCATTGAACAAAAATCGAACATATTTGTTTGTGAGTCATATTTAATGTTTTTCATTCGTAAAGTGGGGCTAGGCTGCGTGTATATTCGCAAACTCCGGAATGAGCTCCATTTCTGGGTTTAAAGTCTCGGTGTTTATTTTCCCTAATGATTTTCTTTGTTTCCATTAATGAGAAATGAGAATTTAATGAAAATTAGTTTACCACTTAGAAATTGTATGTGATTCTATGTATCATTTCTATAGCAGTCCTACTTTTCGTTCAGTTCGTTTTCTGTGTTTCTAACAGATGCACTAAACTAAGGAGTTAGAAAGTACGTTGTAGATGATTTGAATTGAATATTGGAGCAATAAAACTATATGGGAAGACTAAGCTCTTTTATTGACTTTCTTTATTTTTTTGTTGACCCCACAGGATCATTAGTAGCTTTACAATACACAAATAAACACCACTTGCGCGACTAAGGCTGTGTACCCCGGGAAGCCTGTTGTGAGAAAGTTTGAGAGAAAGAGAGATATACGGGGAGACTAACACTGCGTCTGTGACCACACAAACACTGTGCCACATTGACACACAGATACTGTGAGACACAGACGCTGTGAGACACACTGTGGCATTCACACATAGACACAGACACTGTGACACACACAGACACCGTGACACACAGACACTGTGACACACAGACTGTGACACACAGACTGTGACACAGACTGACACAGACTGTGACAGACACCGTGACACAGAGACACTGGGAAACGCTAGCTTCGTCGTCGCACACTACCTGTGGCGGTGTCCTGTTCACCACTACAACAAAGAGACCTCGTTGTTTAATTTCTTGTTTTCCTAAAAATGAGGATATTCACTGTCTCCAATTTGTCATTCTCCTGCTTTATCGTTCAATATAAATAATCTGTATATCATTAGATTTTGCTCTAAATCAGCAGTGCTTGTTCAAGATTAACAATTGAAAGTAGATTCATACACTCCAGAGCGGCCTTGGGAAACTATAAGCCGTAGAGATTGGCTATTAGACGTTTAAGAAAGTATTCTTAGATATAAAGAGGTGGAATCCAGATTAAAAATTGAGTTAAAATATTCATAAATCCGAATTCTTTGGTAATATTACATAAACGATGCATGCATACAAAAAAATTGTTGGTTTGTCACGGAGTCAAGGTTCAAATATTAGGATACGAATCATCTGAATCCATATACAAGTTACAAGTGTAATCCCGTTTATATTTGAACCAAAATATGAGTACCTAAGATTTAATGCAATACGTTGCAGTAGAACACCTGTGACCAACGTACATTGGACTGATCGCTGTGTATCTGAAATATGTGATCTAATTTAAAAGTCGTGTTGGTACGAACGTTGGGAACGAAGAGTCTGAGGGACCCGCCTTCCCTGGCTGGCCGTAACCTCTGATCTATTTAATTAGCGTATCGATTCACTACTAAGCACCCGTGCATTCACCTGCAAGCCAAAATGCGATTTATTGCAAAGTTGAATATAAATTTCAGCGAAGTGCGCGTGTCTAGAGACATCCAGTGTTGAGGTCGGGCGCTGTGGGCAAGAGTGTGTTTACATCCCAGCCACACTACTCGACGCGCTCTGACTCCAACCCTCCATAAACCCAGAGCTTTATATTAGCACTGATGGTGGAGGAAAGTCCCAGTAAGGTGTCCGCACCAGCCCCAATAGACCCCAGCCTGGGGGCGGAGGCGGAACCTTGGGGGGAAGACCTCGGGGTTGTGGTGTTCCAGAGTCAGTGGTCGTAGTATCCCGGCCCATCATGCTACATTACCTCCAGGGTATTGGCCACTCTCCTTGTTGATCGATCGACAAGGGTCCAGGTACACCTTGTAATGGTAGGCCTACATAAGGTCAACCTTGTAATGGTGCTCAAGGTTCAGATTGGTTCTTATAACGACATAAGAATCAAAGTTCACTGCAATAACCCACAAGGTTCAAAGAACACCTTGTAATGACCTACAAGGTTCAAAGTTCACCGTGTAGTGACCCTCAAGATTCAAGGTCTGCCTCATAATGACTCTCATGGCTCAAGATGTATTGGCCCACCAGTTTCAAGGAACACCTCGTAATGATCCAAGAGGTTAAAGCTACACTTCGTAGTGACCCAAAAGGTCAACCTCGTAATGACCCACATGGGTCAAGGCCCATTTTGTAATGACCCAAAATAATTCAAGGTCCACCTAATGACCACAAAAGTTCAAGGTTAAAAGGCTCAACATGATTGACACAGAGTGCTAATTATAGCATTGTACCATTATCCTGAATTCAATGCAGCAATAATTCGAGAAATGCTAGACAAATATCTCTTCAACGAGCTTAATATTGTTCATATAGAGTCTCCCTGGCGATGGTTTAAACTCTAAAAGTCCGTGGAGCAGACATGAACCCCCTAAGAGGAAGCTTCCCGCCTGGGAGAGAGCTTCCCGCCTTCAGGGTAGACTCTGTTGGGACTTTCTCTTGTATCTCCGAATTGCTCCCCCGAGCTCAACACCGGTGGCCGCTGAAGACTCGCGTTGTCCCATACCAACCCATTGCATCGCGGGTTCCTTAAGCTATAGTACTCACACGCGTTGCTGTATGACAAATCATTTATTACATCCAATTATTTACAAACAAATTAAATACATAAGTCTGAGGATGAATTACAGTGTGTTTTGGGTTACAATGTATATAGGTCGATATTACATCCCATAGAAGATTCGTCTTACATTTTCTCAAGTTAGTATTAAAGTAATTTTAACATTAATAGATTCTTAAATTAAAAAATCTCTTAGCAAGAGAGAGATAATTCTGACAATGTCTATCACGATTAAGACAATAGACACGGTATATTGTTATTGAAGTGGGGGGTATGTAAGGGTGACTTGAAGCTCTGAAGCCCTCTAGTTCTGGGTGATAGTCTCCTTCACCACCACAGTCTCTCCTCCGGGCAGCTGCGTCGTCTGGCAGGTGACGAAGGTGCGGTGCTTGGCGCGGATCATCGACAGGTTGCTCTCGGCGGTCTCTGCGCGTTCCTCAGCCGCCTCCAACTCGCGCTGGAACCTGCGCACGCGGGTCAAGTTGGTCGACGACACAGACTCCTGCAACGTGGAGGATAATATCCGTTACCACACGTACTCGTTAGTGCTATGGTATCGCAGGTACACGTTAGTGCTATGGTACCACACGTACTCGTTAGTGCTATGGTACCACACGTACACGTTAGTGCTATGGTACCACACGTACTCGTTAGTGCTATGGTACCACACGTACACGTTACAACAACAATTCATTTGATTAAGTTTAAAATATCACCTCTTAGAGCCTCGGAGGTCATAACGAGCTTTGTAAATAAAGACTAAGCCGCCATGATATAGCAGTAAGAGGTACAAATATCTTAAGTGACTACGCAAGTGTTCTGTTAATCAAGAACATTAAGCTTATACTGTACCCACCAACTGGCGAACATAACGAGCTTAAAACCTTCTTCTTAACGAGCTTCTATCGAGCTTAAAACCGTAGGGGCACAAATACGTTGAGGAAAATGCGAGACGTAACTAACGAAGCTCCAAGACGAACATCGTGTACTACGAACCTGTTCGTTGAGCTGGCGCTTGTAGATGTTGATCTTCTCGTAGGTCTTGTCGAGGGTCTCCTGCAGGATCTGGATATTCTTGTGGTCCTCCTCGCACTGCAGAACCAGTTCCTTCACGTTGCGTTCCTTCTTCCTCAGGATCTTGATGGTCTCCTGGTGACGACGCTGCTCCTCGTCCAGGGACAGCTCCAGGTCGTGAACCTACATGGTGACACCACAGGGAGGTTACTAATGTACAATGAAGGCACATTTGCGTGATGTACCAATGGGAAAATCATTGAGGTTACTAATGATCCTACAACCTTCCAGGTAAAAGCGCCTCTCATTTACGGTCCTGTAAAGATGTTTCTCTGAGTGTTTGAAAAATAAAACATTGGTCAGTCTACTTTCAAGTGTGGTCTAGAGCAGACACTTGCAAGATACTGTACCGACGCTCAGTGCGCTCAACTCACACCAAAGTATCACCTGTGTACTTCTGTATATTCGACCAAATACATATATAGTATCTTAGTGTCTGTGTTTATTTGTCACCATACTTTACGTAACAATAGAACCGTTATATTGGTAACGGTGAGGAGGATATGTAATATGTATGGATATGTAAAAAAGGAGGTGAACCTCCTTTTTTATCGTATCTTAAGCATGTACTCAAGTATCCAATAAACCACATATCCAGGTCCCCATCTAACCACGTAGCTACGTTCCCACCTAACCAGGTACCATGGTACCCACCTAACCTCGTAGCCAGGTCTCCACGTATTCAAGTACCCATGCCCACTTTAACCACGTACCCAGCTCCCCACCTAGCTATGTCCCCACATAATATGCCGGGATAATATCCAAGAGCAACGTCAGTTCGACGTCATCAACGTTGATTCAACGTCGAACCAACGCCACTTTGATATTACGCCTCCTGGGTACATACCCGGGCCTCGAGTTTGGATACCATCCTCTTGGTGCTGGCCAGGGCATTGGCTTCGACGTTCTCGATGCGAATGGTGAGGTTCTTGACTTCGACCTCGAGGGACTTCTTGATGGACTCGATCTTGACATAACGCTCCTGTTCTTCGTGCAGGAGTTCGATGGACCTCTTCAGCTCGATGGTGGTCTTGCTGAGTCTCTCTTCGCTCAGCTGTTGGAGGTAACAAAGCTGTTATTACTTGCTCAGCTGTTAAGTAACTAACAATCTACACAAATATACACGCCCATTTAATAAAATACAAATTACACTACACACACACCCAGGGTTCGAGTGTCTCTACAAGCACACCTGAGTACATAAACTAATCCCACGGGCGACTCACCCTGAGTTCCTTGCTGACTTCGTCGTAGTCCCCGGCGATGACACAGAGCTCCTGCTCCAGCTTGGCCTTGGCGTTGCTGATGTTGACGTTGATGGTGGTGAGGTCCTTGAGGCGGGCGGAGGCTTCCTCGTACTGCAACTCTGCAGAGCGGCGGGCGCGGATGGCCTGTTGGAACACATTGTCACGTTTAGTATCTAGTATCAGTGTCATTGGCTTGTCAGGAGTTTGGCTTACAGGGAAATTTTCAGGGCTATTTACTGTATGTTATCGTGAATGTTTCACAATTAGCCATGAATGTTGTGTGAGCTTTGTGGGAGTGTGAGATGTTAGTGAGGGGTGGAAGGGCAGGTGATAATGGGGGACGGGGACGTGGTGAAGGTACTGGTGAAGGGAGGGGGTGAGGGTCATGGTGGAGGAAGGCGGCACAGATGATGACTTACAGCGTCGAAGTTGGCGCGGGCTTCCTCGTACTCTGCTGTGAGAGCTTGGATGCGGCGCTGGGCCACACCATACTGGTCCAGGGTCTGCTGGAGCTGTCGCTGGAGCTCGTCGTAGTGGGCTTGTAGCTCCTGTCCAGGGAAGATAAGCTGGGTGTTAGTCCTCTCTCTCTCTGACACCTCCCGTTACACTGATGCCACTGACACCTTCTCTTCTTCCAGTGACAACACCGCATATACCTAGACCTCTCTGATCGCTCAGAATATTGTTCCCATTTTTGAATCCTACTATTCGAAATGCCAGATACTTAAGACTCCTTTTCAACCCTTACAAAACTTGGTCACTGCTGATTATTTTCAGTATATAAAACAACTTCATTAAACTTACAAAGTAAAAAAATGTTTGATATATTACTACAACTTAACGACAAATTTAATTATATTCTATTCCAATTTTCAGACAAACAATAATATTAAGTTTACTCAAAAATCGTCTATAAGCTACTTTGCAATGACTTAAATTATTGCCTAAACTACGCAGCTGCATCGAGGTGCGCGCGACTCAAAATAGTTAACAAATCAAATGTCTTGTAGCAGTGAAAAAGTTGCAGGCGACGAGTCACAATAACGTGGCTGAAGTATGTTGACCAGACCACACACTAGAAGGTGAAGGGACGACGACGTTTCGGTCCGTCCTGGACCATTTACAAATCGACTTGAGAATGGTCCAGGATGGACCGAAAAGTCGTCGTCCCTTCACTTTCTAGTGTGTGATCTGGTCAGTAACAGTGTAAGAGTTATTGCTTGCCTGGAGGGAGATGGCCTGCTTCTTGACGGTCTTCTGGAGGTCGATGTTGGACTTGTTGGTGGTGTCGAGGCTCATCTCGAGCTCTGTGATGGTGATCTGCATCTTCTTCTTGATCTTGGTCACCTCGGACTTAAGGCGGGTCTCGGCCTCGATCACCCGGGCGTTGAGGTTGTCCACTTCGATGGCCATCTGCTTGCTGTGGGCGAGAGAGTGGGTCAAGTGAGAAGGAGAGTAGTGGACGGGGCGGGCACACGGACCGGGGGCCAGATTCACGAACCTGTTACGCAAGCACTTACGAACCAATACATCTTTTATTATTCTTTTGCGATTTTGTTTACAATCATTGAACAGTTAATGAGCTCCGAAGCACCAGGAGGCTGTTTATAACAATAACAACAGTTGATTGAGAAGTTTTCATGCTTGTAAACTGTTTAATAAATGTAACCAAAGCCGTCAAAGATTGAGAAAAGATGTACACGTTCGTAAGTACTTGCGTAACTGCTTAGTGAATCTAACCCCAGATCATTAGGCCGGGACTAGAGAACGGGCCAGTTTATCAATAAGGACTAGGCAACGGCTCGTCTAAATAGGAGCTGCTTTTCATTAAATAGGAGCTGTCTAACATTAAATTCAAGCTGCCTCACGTAAGAGCTATCTTGGATTAATTAGGAGCTCTCTCGTGGGGAATTTCCGGCCTTATGCAATAACCTATATTCCTATGTTTATGAAGAAGAAAACATAAATTTGTTGATAATTTATACGTAAGAAAACAAGCCCCCGCAGTAGCGAAGGCTCGATAATACAGTCAAAGTTGAAGCGCTCAACTCGGAAAAGAAATAACCAACATGTTTCCAAATCTATATAAGATTGTTCCTCATCTCCGACCATCTAGGTTGACCAGCCGATCATGAGAGTGTATGATAACCATGTATGATAAAGACATAACCATGTCTTAAGGCAGCGTCTGGGATCCTCTCGGACGTAGGTTTGAACCCTCGTCACGGCCCTTGTGTATTTGTTCATTGGATGCATCACACTATTGTGATTTCTGTATGTAATGAGTGTATCATTATGGGTAAAAGTTCGCCACACGGATTTTTGTTTACGCTTTTTTGTTGATAAGGGAATGTGCTTGATGTAAAGAACTTACGTCATCCACGATCTCTTAATGTCATTATATCCTTCGATTATTCTAGTGTTGCTGTTCAGGGTATCCCTGATGGGTTTGTAGAAATATCTTGTTGGAATTGGACTCTCAAAGTGTTCATGTACTGACATGGAGAATATTAATTTCTGTCAAGAGGTTCCGCTTACTGTCGGGAGAGTTCTGCATGAACAAGTTGAGGGTCTTCTTAACTCTTGAAAAAAATAGTAAGCTGTACACCTGGGCTGTATGAGACTCGAACCGGGGACCCGACACGTGTGAAGCAAAGCTCTATCGACTGGGCAATGAGCAGTCTTAATGAGCAGTACCTTCTCTTCAGGGTAGATAGGGATCATGTTTCTGTCAGTTATGTTCTGAACATAAAGTACAGCTCAGCATTTTCTACAAGAGTTAGGGAGATGCTCTCAACATCCTCAAGCCGAACTCTCAGAGCACCCGTTTGGTGCTCTGAGAAAGAAATTAATATTGTATCCTCCAGCTCACGCTTTGAAGATGACCCACTTCAGATCACCACATAAAGATCTAGCCGGAGAGTCCCATAACGTCATGAAAAATGTTAATTGAAAGTTTCCTCTCCTAACCTTTCCGAGTAAGTCAGAGGACTCAAACAGAAAACGGGACAGTACATCATTTTCGTGAGCCGATTTCATTTAAAATTACGGTCAGTTTTGGCCATAAAAAGGTTTGGTTTAGGCGACGTTATTTTTAAGAGGACGGGACATCACAGAACGATGGGCGTCTCATCTCCTGCCTAATTCAGTCTGTCACGAATACATTAATAGTGATGCCAGAAATATGCAGAGTGATCGTTTAGATATACACAGCGATCTTCAAAAAATACACAGTGAATATTCAAATATACACAGTGATGAGCGGACGGACCAGATCAATAGGCTGGGACTAGAGATATGGCCAGTTTAGTGATACTTCAAATATAGTGATGATTGAAATATACACCACGATGCATCATATATTCAGTGATGCTGCGTATAAGATGCAGTATCACTGATGATACAGTGATCTTCAGATATACAATGATGTTGCAGATATACAATGATGTTGTAAATATACAGTGATATTCAGATATATAGCGATGCTGCAGATATACAATGATGCTTCAGATATGCAATGATGCTTCAGATATACAACGATGCTTCAGATATATGGTGATGCTGCAGATATACAATGATGTTGCAGATATACGGTGATGTTGCAGATATACAGTGATATTCAGATATATAGCGATGCTGCAGATATACAATGATGCTTCAGATATACAACGATGCTTCAGATATGCAATGATGCTGCAGATATAGAGTGATGCTGCAGAGATAGAGTGACACTTGGAGCTGCCTCCTGACCGCCAATGGCGGGGTTTAAGGCGCACGGGCCCCTGGGCGAGCAATGCAAAGTGCTTGTGTCCACCAGGAAGTGTGGCGGCCTGGCCTCACCCACACTCTGGCAAGCATAACCAGCACTCACGCTTAATATAGACCTCTACTCACGCTTCTTTTTGTCCCGGCCTGCAGCGGCTGCTGACCAAATGTTTCTTGGTGCTATATTGGGCATTGGGCCACTATATGGCCAGCATGGTCCATATGCAATTATGACCAGTTTATATTTACTGTTGTATAGACTTACACACACACACACACACACACACACACACACACACACACACACACACACACACACACACACACACACACACACACACACACATATACACACACACATCCCCAAGAAGCAGCCCGTAGCAGCTATCTAACTCCACGGTACCTATTTACTGCTAGGTGACCAGGATAATCAGAGTGACAGAAACTTTGCCCATTTGTTTCCACCTTTGCCGGGAATCGAACCCGGGTCCTAAGGACTAAGACCCCCCCCCCCCAGCGCTGTCCACTCAACCGCGAGGCTCCGTGTGTGTGTGTGTTTGTGTGTTACAGAGGAATATATATATATATATATATATATATATATATATATATATATATATATATATATATATATATATATAGTAGATATGATAGCGGAAAATAGGTCGAGAGTTAATACGTAAGACAACCGGCGGTTAGAAAGGCGGGGTCCAAGAGCTAACAGCTCGATCCGGCAGGCACAAATAGTAAAAACACATTAAGTAATTTAGGTATATCATATTTTTTTTAACATCTCACCCACCAGACACCCTCCATGGGGACATCTCACCCATCAGACACCCTCCATGGGGACATCTCACCCATCAGACACCCTCCATGGGGACATCTCACCCATCAGACACCCTCCATGGGGACATCTCACCCATCAGACACCCTCCATGGGGACATCTCACCCATCAGACACCCTCCATGGGGACATCTCACCCACCAGACACCCTCCATGGGGACATCTCACCCACCAGACACCCTCCATGGGAACATCTCACCCACCAGACACCCTCCATGGGGACATCTCACCCATCAGACACCCTCCATGGGGACATCTCACCCACCAGACACCCTCCATGGGAACATCTCACCCACCAGACACCCTCCATGGGGACATCTCACCCACCAGACACCCTCCATGGGGACATCTCACCCACCAGACACCCTCCATGGGGACATCTCACCCACCAGACACCCTCCATGGGAACATCTCACCCACCAGACACCCTCCATGGGAACATCTCACCCACCAGACACCCTCCATGGGAACATCTCACCCACCAGACACCCTCCATGGGGACATCTCACCCACCAGACACCCTCCATGGGGACATCTCACCCACCAGACACCCTCCATGGGGACATCTCACCCACCAGACACCCTCCATGGGGACATCTCACCCACCAGACACCCTCCATGGGAACATCTCACCCACGTAGACGTTCAAGGAGTTCCCGAAGTGTAACTGGGTGGTTCAGCTGTTAATAATATAACACTTGCCTCGTGTCTTGATTCTTTTACGTATAACGAATCAAAATATTATTTATTTAATTCTCAAATTTGCTTATTAAGTGATAGCAGAATTTTCGTGAATTATTTTGGTAAAGCTTCATCAAAAATATTAATTATCTTGATCATGGCAGGAGGTTCAGATCGGCTTGTTAGGCAAATGTCAAGTCAGGAGACTTGCGAATTGAGCTGTTAGGCCGGAAGTGGTATTGAGGGCGGAGGTATTGGAAGTGGTATTGAGGGGTGTGTTGTTTGTTGTTTAAGATTCGCTACTTGGAACAAAAAGTTCCAAGTAGCACGGGCTATGGTGAGCCCGTAGTCTGGGTGTGTAGAGTGAGTAGAGTACTGTAGTAGTTAGATTGGGTTCCTGGTGGATGTTCCGTGATGGCAGTGTGCCAGAAACGTGATTAGTCTCTGGCGCTCCCCCCCCCCCCTGGCACGCCCAACCGTCTACCACTCTGTAAATGTTTACCCAACCACTTGGGCTGGACGGTAGAGCAACGGTCTCGCTTCATGCGGGTCGGCGTTCAATCCCCGACCGTCCACAAGTGGTTGGGCACCATTCCTTCCCCCCCCCCCCCATCCCATCTCAAATCCTTATTCTGACCCCTTCCCAGTGCTATATAGTCTCGTAATGGTTTGACGTTTTCCCCTAAGACTTCCCTTCCCTTCAGTAGTTTTTTTTAACTTTTTGTGGGTGTGTGTGTGCGGAGACGCACGCACACACACACACACACACACACACACACACACACACACACACACACACACACACACACACACACACACACACACACACTGTACCAAAAAAGCTCAGAACTTGACACTGGTGAACCCCCACGCCCGCCAAATTTCCCACTTCAGATATGATACAAGTTTAGGAGCGTGTTGTACTCCCTTTTCTTAACAGTAGGTCTCCTTTGGCCTTGGTCCTGTACACTCGGCTGCTGATATAGTGGAATAAATAATATTATGTTGATAACGAAGGTGTGAGTTAGTGGGTGTCTTGGCTGGTGTAGGTCAGTGTTCTGGCTACACTGCACTGGACACATACCCTCTGTCCAAGAGGCTCTCATTACCCTCATATATATATATATATATATATATATATATATATATATATATATATATATATATATATATATATATATATATATATATATGACAATGTCAGACCACGGAGGAAAATGAGACAGGAATTTCCTTAAGTACTTTCGTATATTAAATACATCTTCAGAAGGAATCATTCCTTCTGAAGATGTATTTAATATACGAAAGTACTTAAGGAAATTCCTATTTCATTTTCCTCCGTGGTCTGACATTGTCACATTCTTAATCACGTGTTTATTTTCGTGATACACACACACACACACACACACACACACACATATATATATATATATATATATATATATATATATATATATATATATATATATATATATATATATATATAATGTTGTTGAAGATGACCGAAAAGGTACGATTGATAATTCTAACACGAATTTTCTCAATATGTCTTATATTTCTCTTCACTCTCGAGGGTAACTGACATATCAATTCTACAAAATTCATTTTTATTCTTGGTCTGACGCCTGAACGCGTTTCGTAATTCTTATTACATTTCCAAAGATTTAGTTTACACTCGTGTAAACTAAGACTATTGAGAAGATTCGTGTTGGAATTATTAATCTTAACTTTTCGGTCATTTTCAACAATATATATATATATATATATATATATATATATATATATATATATATATATATATATATATATATATATATATATATATCCCTTCTTTCACGAATAATATATATTTTAGGAACATAAGAACATTATTATGAATTTAATCTGATAAATTCAAGAAACTTTACATAAGGCTTATTGGACCATACGAGGCATCTCTTATTTATAGCCACCCAAACTCATTTATACATGTGTCTAACCTACACTTGAAACACCCCCCAGCGATCTCACGTCTGTTGTGTAACATAAATCAACAACCCCTGATTTTCAAACCCGTATTTATCCAGGCCTTTCCTAACTCTACACTTAGTCTTTGATATAGAGTATTTTCGTACACCGTTGGCGATTATCTTGCAATGATTACATTGCAAGATAATTCTTGCAATGTAATCATTGCAAGATAATTCTTGCAATAACCCCCGGTGAGGGGTTAGTCATTAGTGTTGCTGATTACTGGTGCAGATATTACGGTGTTAGAACTTGGTATCCACAGACACGAAGGGTTGATGAAGGCTGTCTCCTAGACACGCTTCGCTTTCCTTTGAAATTTATCTGCGGAGTCCGTGTGCTCTGAGTTATAGCACAGTGGTATAGTACTTTGATAACGTGTCACTATACTTCAGTGAGGTAGTACTCACATAAACATGTCACTATATACTTCAGTGACGCAGTACTCATCAACATGTCACTGTACTCTATTTCTGTGACAGGTGAACATGTCACCACACTACAGTGACACAGTGCTCAGAAGATTATAATATGCTAATGATGAATCATATATATATATAATGGGCAATAAGTCACTTACCTACTGGTAGTGACCACTGTTAAATGGGAGCAGAGACGCAGAGAGAGAGAGAGAGAGAGAGAGAGAGAGAGAGAGAGAGAGAGAGAGAGAGAGAGAGAGAGAGAGAGAGAGAAGAAAAGCAGGCAGGTTGCCAAGTCACTAAACAGACGTTGAAACCCAAGACTTTCAATTAAAGCAAGTCTTAATTGTGTAACCAACACGACTCCCAACTAGCAAATGTTGACTAATTTGTAACGAGGGGGGGGGGGGAGGGAAGGTGTTGATGTGTGGGATGGGTGGTGTTTGGTTTATTGAACTGATTAGGGATTGGTGTGGGGATTGGGGATTGGTGTAGTGTGTGTGTGTGGGGTGGACGTTCATCATATGACGAGTGACAGTGTTCCTAGACAGTCCTTTTATATACCTAGGCATATATATTATGTACAAAAATACACCCCCACCACACCCACACACTGACCAATTTCTTCTGTGTTAACAATACCATTGCTCCATTGTCTTACATTTTCTCGTTCACGCTTGGCACAGCGAGGCTGGCTCGACCTTGGCTGATATGAGAAGAATGTACACATTTTGGTTATAGGTAATATCAAGATTATTTTCTTATACTTTGAAGGCATCAAGTAATATATGTAATATTGTTTTTTGTTGAGGTTGTTCAAGATAGTGAGAAATGAGAGTCACTGTGAGAAGGTGAATGTGTGAGAGAAAGATATTGAGAGATGTAGAAAGACTAAGAGAGTAAGAGAAAGAGAGAGAGGGGGAGGATAAAGCTGTAGAGAGAGGGAAAAGATACAGAGAGAGAGAGAGAGGTACAGAGAGAGAGAGAGAGAGAGAGAGAGAGAGAGAGAGAGAGAGGTACAGAGAGAGAGAGAGAGAGAGAGAGAGAGAGAGAGAGAGAGAGAGAGAGAGAGAGAGGTACAGAGAGAGAGAGAGAGAGAGAGAGAGAGAGAGAGAGAGGGGGGTACAGAGAGAGAGAGAGGTACAGAGAGAGAGAGAGAGAGAGAGAGAGAGAGAGAGAGAGAGAGAGAGAGAGAGAGAGAGAGAGAGAGAGAGAGAGAGAGAGAGAGAGGAGATGTACAGAGAGAGAGAGAGAGAGAGAGGGTTAGAGAGAGAGAGAGAGAGAGAGAGGGTTACAGAGAGAGAGAGAGAGAGAGGAGTTACAGAGAGAGAGAGAGAGAGAGGGTTACAGAGAGAGAGAGAGAGAGAGAGAGAGAGAGAGAGGGGTACAGAGAGAGAGAGGCGCCACTAGCCAGAGCAGAGGGCGCCTAGGGACTGGAGGTATCTGAGTCACACACAAAATTCTGTTTTTATCATTCTTTATTTATATATCACTGTATAATGATATAATGCGTGAACAAAAGTAAATACACAAATAAATAAAAATGGATAGATAATATACTGAAATATGAATACCGAGTATTATTGTATAAACATAAAATAGTGGCGGTCTTTTTAGAACATTACATTTGTAATATAATGTTGGAACGCGCGGGAAAGTAAATAAATCTTAAACAAGAGTATCGTAAAAATGAAACAGAAATACTTCGAAAAACTTCGTCGGTTACTCGTATTGTTGTATTAAGTTCGTTCTGACAACAGAGCAGGAGAGAACACTGGCTAGACTGGTGGCGACGAGTCCCTCCATATGAGGAGCTCTACGTGGCCGGTCTCCACACAGGCACTAACCCCCTACCCCCCCACATCTCTCGCACTGCCGGCCCCAGGCTATTTTTCCCACTGGTGTTATCTTCAGCCACGGCTTCGCTCACAGGTGTTTCTGTCGGCAACACATATATATGCACGTGTTGTGGGAGAATTTGATTTGTCCGGAGGGCATCTTCTTGTGTTTTGCTTTTCAGAAACTTGGAGTTTTGAGCGAACTTTTGGGAGATGGTTCCTGTGGGGGGGTGTTTGTCTTGGTGCTCTCTCAAAGGGGGAAACAAGTGTTGTCAGGTGGTAGCGTGCAGCAGGATTTTCCACATCATTGGCGAGAAGGAGGCGTCTGTGAAAATTGGTTTCTGTGGCGGGCAGTAGCGTGGTCTAGTAGCCTAGCAGGGTGCTCCTAGCGCGGGCGCGGATGGTGGCATACCTGACGCGGTTGCTCAGGGATGGGTGCTCCTCGATGGGCTTCCTGGCTCTCAGCTCACAGTAGTCCTTGAATGCGTTGGTGTTGATGCTGGAGCGAGGAGCGTCCACTTCAACGTCGATGTCGTAGCGACGTTGACACGTGCCTTTAGTAGCCAGAGTCTTGGCCATGTAGTCGATGTTCATCTCTGTGCGGGAGGGAGGCACCAGCAACTCGCGGTCGGCCGTGTCGGGACGAGGTTTGAACACGTTAACGAAGCGTGCTCGACTGTTGATCCTTCGCTGTTCACTAGTTCGAGTTCCCAGTTCCCCGGCTTTGTTGAGGACACGAGCATACACGTCCGAGATCACTTCCTCCCGCAGGAGTGGCTCCCTGGGCTTGGTGGTCACTCTCTCGCGCCTCGGCAAGAGTATCGCCTGCTTCGGCTTCCTGCAACTTATTATTTCATCGTACTCGTCATCTTCATCCAGAACGATGGAGCGAGCTCGAGAATGACTCCTCCGAGCAGCAAGTTGTGCCCTCAACATGTCGAGTTCAACTTCGTTGTCAATATTCAGCTGGCGCTCTGTCGAGTGGAGCTGCCTCATGTCGTCTACGCGGTGACTGAGGCCAAGCACCTCATCGTCCAGGTTGCGCAAGCTGGTGCGCAGTGTGTTCCTGGCACTGTCCATATCCGTTAGATCGTTCACGCATTCCGTCATAGCTCTCAGCTCCTCTTGACGGCGTATCCTATTCCGAAGAGCCTGTTCGCGGTCACTCATGTCAATTCGCCGTGGGTCGTAAGAGGCGGTAGAAAACTGGTCAGCGCGTTGATTGATACGCCTCATTTGCTCATTAATATGATCGACTGTACTCTCAAATTTGTTGTCTAATATGTTGAGCTTCTCCCGGCGTTCCGCCATCTTCTCCTCGTGCTCCTTCCTGCTCTGGGCGAGTGTTCTCACTACACTGGCAAACTCGGAGGATAAATCGTCGAGGTAGCGAGGTTTTGGCGTGAGTTCCCTGTAGTCCACGACCTTGATTGGTGTTGGCGAGCGGTAGTCCGTATCTTCAAACTCTGACGCTTTTTTGTGTAATTTACGATAGTCGACAACGTACGAATTCTTGACTAGTTGAACCCACTTCCTTGTCATAGACCAGTTGGTGTGTGTGCGCCTGAGTACGTTGCTCACACCAACAGCATCGTTCTGCCTGATCTGCGTGCGGATTTTCTCCCCCTTGTCAATGTATCTGTCAATATCCCGGTTTTTATACCACTTGAAGGGCTTGTCGGACGCGTGCTGCCTCATGCACCGCTCCTCCAGCGACGGAAGATGTACATCGTCTTTGTTTACCTTCTCTCCACCGTCCTTCGCGTCCAGATAATCTATCATAGGCTGATAACTTTGCACTCCAAAACCAAAATTGTTTGCATAAACAAAAGTAGGAGGCTTCTTCCAAAATGACCCCGGTCGCCTCCGTCGGGCTTTCCGCTCCTTTTTCTCGACTTCTAATAATTTCTCTGACAGGGTCGCCGGCGCGCCACCGCCGTCTGCTGGTGTTATCTCAATAGAGGGCGGCTCCTCCGCGTAGTCCACCACGTTGTCTCCCATCTCCCCTAGATTCCGGCTGGTCGCTAAATTTGGGATACACTTCTGTCCAATGAGGCGTGGTGGACCTGATCCCTTTGTGTTCTCGGCCGCTGTAGCCGCTTCGGGAGCTCAAGTACGGGCTTTGTGGAGCCCAAGTTGTCAGCTGTGAGCACCGCCCACCGCCGCCCTCCGGACTGCGGTGTGTCCTGCTAGCTTATGGTCACAGTCCACGCTGGTCACTGGTAGTGGGTGGAGAAGCTTTTTGGCAGGGTGGAGGTGGTATGAGGCCTCCCCCGCCTCCACCAGAGGCATGTCAGGCGCCAGACTTCGCTGGGGGGGGGGAGGGGGGTGTTGTATTGCTACCTTCAACCAATCACAGCTTCCTCTCTCCCCCTGCACTACGTACTGTGGGGCAGAAGGGGGGGGGGGTTGGCATAACTGGGAGGGTCACGCCCTCTTGGTCTCACTCTGGCGTCCCTCTCACCTGTTGTGATCAACCATTCTGAAGACAAGTTTGCGGATACCTTTAAGACAGGCATATAGCATGCAACAATACACTTGGGAAACCTATTGGGGGAAACTTACTGGATTTTTTAAAGAAAATAGGCATTCGAGCCCTGTCTTTCCTGCAATTATCTAATGTCGCACCCTCTTCCCCTCCCCCCTCCCCCCCCTCCCTCACTCCCACTCCCCAAGATTCACCTGCCGGCCTCCCCCCACCCCAGGGAGAGAGGTAGGGAGCCAGCCAGCCCGGGCCGCCCCATCAACAACATGGTTGACAGCGCCTTCTGCCACCTCGCTCCTTTGATGAAGACAGCCGCTCACCTGTACACCGTAATCTGCTCACTTGATCGTTTAAACATGTAGTATTTATTATAAAATTACCGAATTCTAAAGTACCTAGTTTGCTGGCGTATTGAACGCGCCGATTTTTTTTAGGCTGTTTTGGGATTTTTTTTTTAGTATGTTTCATAAAACATTTATTGAGTGATTGTCAAGAGGCTTTTTAGGGGCAAACATGATATATATATATATATATATATATATATATATTATATATATATATATATATATATATATATATATATATATATATATATATATATATATATATATATATATATAATTTTAAGATGAATAGGAAAACCAGGGATACTGTGAACATCTTGTTTCAGATTCTTTACTTTAAAATGCATAACGTTTCGAATACTTCTCGTATTCATCATCAGATCTAAAAGAAAAAACAGAAATCACAATCATCTGATGATTGATGATGAATACGAGATCTGATGATGAATACGAGAAGTATTCGAAACGTTATGCATTTTAAAGTAAAGAATCTGAAACAAGATGTTCAGTATATCCCTGGTTTTCCTATTCATCTTAAAATTAAGATTCCCGAAGGGAACATCGATCATAAATATAAATATATATATATATATATATATATATATATATATATATATATATATATATATATATATATATATACATATATATATATACATATATATATATACATATATATATATACATATATATATATACATATATATATATACATATATATATATACATATATATATATACATATATATATATACATATATATATATACATATATATATATATATATATATATATATCTATATATATATATATATATATATATATATATGTCGTACCTAGTAGCCAGAACGCACTTCTCAGCCTACTATACAAGGCCCGATTTGCCTAATAAGCCAAATTTTCATGAATTAATGTTTTTTCAACTACCTAACCTAACCTATCCTAACTTTTTCGGCTACCTAACCTAACCTATAAAGATAGGTTAGGTTAGGTTAGGTAGGGTTGGTTAGGTTCGGTCATATATCTACGTTAATTTTAACTCCAATAAAAAAAAATTGACCTCATACATAATGAAATGGGTAGGTTTATCATTTCATAAGAAAAAAATTAGAGAAAATATATTATTTCAGGAAAACTTGGCTTATTAGGCAAATCGGGCCTTGCATAGTAGGCCGAGAAGTGCGTTCTGGCTACTAGGTACGACATATATATATATATATATATATATATATATATAGATATATATATATATATATATATATATATATATATATATATATATATATATATTGGGTCGTGGGGACCCAAAAGATGCGTCGTATCCCCCAGCAAAAAACGGTATATGTTTCAATATACATGACTCAAACCACTTAGGACTTAAACAATAGAATTTTCAACTAAATTTAAAATTTCAAGACAGTCTTGAAGGGAATTATCAGAAGAAAGCTCCAAGCCATTACGCCAGTATAGCACTTGGAGGGGATTAGGATAAGGATTTGGGATGGGACGGGGTGAGAGAAGGAATGGTGTCCAACCACTTGGACGGTCGGGGATTGAACGCCGACCTGCATGAAGCAAGACCGTCGCTCTACCGTCCAGCCCCAGACAGTCTTGAATTGATGCTCACGTGCAGATAAATGAATTGATAAATGATGCAAGTGGGTATGCTTCAATAGGACCTTCAGGGTCTATTGAAGCTGTGATACACGCCAGTCAGGGTCAGGAAAAGCACTGACAGCGGTTTATTTAAGATACCTCTGACTACAGGGAGAGCAGAGTAACAGGTACCTGTGACTAGTGGCGTTGATGACTGGCGTTGATGACTGGTGTTGATGACTGGTGATGACTGGCGTTGATGACTGGCGTTGATGACTGGCGTTGATGACTGGCGTTGATGACTGGCGTTGATGACTGGTGTTGATGACTGGCGTTGATGACTGGCGTTGATGACTGGCGTTGATGACTGGCGTTGATGACTGGTGTTGATGACTGGCGTTGATGACTGGTCTTGATGACTGGTCTTGATGACTGGCGTTGATGACTGGCGTTGATGACTGGCGTTGATGACTGGCGTTGATGACTGGCGTTGATGACTGGCGTTGATGACTGGCGTTGATGACTGGCGTTGATGACTGGCGTTGATGACTGGTGTTGATGACTGGCGTTGATGACTGGTCTTGATGACTGGTCTTGATGACTGGCGTTGATGACTGGCGTTGATGACTGGCGTTGATGACTGGCGTTGATGACTGGTGTTGATGACTGGTGTTGATGACTGGCGTTGATGACTGGCGTTGATGACTGGTGTTGATGACTGGTGTTGATGACAGGTGTTGACGGTGAGGCCTGGTGTTGATGACTGGTGTTGATGACAGGTGTTGACGGTGAGGCCTGGTGTTGATGACTGGCGTTCATGACTGGTGTTCATGACTGGTGTTCATGACTGGTGTTGATGACTGGTGGGTTAAGGTTGTGACTGTTATCATACGAGTGTAGTATGCGTTACACCATCTTTTCTTTTGTGTACCTGGTGTATATCCCAAGTGGTCCTATACATAGGACCACTTGGCTGCCGGCAGATAGACAGCCCTGAGGCAGCAGACTGTGAGCCTGCTGATCTGACTGTGTCACACCATGTCCAACTCTGCCAACATTCGAGACGGGACATGAGCACTTCAAAGGGTTATACGGACAGATTCCTCTGTATCACGCAAGCCACTTGCTAAAGTCGGGGCTCGGACGCCAACCCTGCAAGAAGCAAGGACGTCGCAACTACCAACCCGTGCAAGTGGTTGGGTAGAGTGTGAAAAACTCAAATTGAGAACACTCCCTATTCCACTCTTACCCATTCCTCTTGACTCTCACCCCTTCCTCTTGACTCTCACCCCTTCCTCTTGACTCTCACCCCTTCCTCTTGACTCTCACCCATTCCTCTTGACTCTCACCCCTTCCTCTTGACTCTCACCCCTTCCTCTTGACTCTGACTCCTTCCTATTGACTCTCACCCCTTCCTCTTGACTCTCACCCCTTCCTCTTGACTCTCACCCCTTTCTCTTGACTCTCACTTCCTTCCTCTTGACTCTCACCCCTTCCTCTTGACTCTCACTCCTTCCTCTTGACTCTCACCCCTTCCTCTTGACTCTCACTCCTTCTTCTTGACTCTCACTCCTTCCTCTTGACTCTCACCCCTTCCTCTTGACTCTCACCCCTTCCTCTTGACTCTCACCCCTTCCTCTTGACTCTCACACCCCTTCCTCTTGACTCTCACCCCTTCCTCTTGACTCTCACCCCTTCCTCTTGACTCTCACTCCTTCCTCTTGACTCTCACCCCTTCCTCTTGACTCTCACTCCTTCTTCTTGACTCTCACTCCTTCCTCTTGACTCTCACCCCTTCCTCTTGACTCTCACTCCTTCCTCTTGACTCTCACCCCTTCCTCTTGACTGTCACACCCCTTCCTCTTGACTCTCACCCCTTCCTCTTGACTCTTACCCCTTCCTCTTGACTCTCACACCCCTTCCTCTTGACTCTCACTCCTTCCTCTTGACTCTCACCCCTTCCTCTTGACTCTCACCCCTTCCTCTTGACTCTCACTCCTTCCTCTTGACTCTCACCCCTTCCTTTTGACTCTCACTCCTTCCTCTTGACTCTCACCCCTTCCTCTTGACTCTCACCCCTTCCTCTTGACTCTCACACCCCTTCCTCTTGACTCTCACTCCTTCCTCTTGACTCTCACCCCTTCCTCTTGACTCTCACTCCTTCTTCTTGACTCTCACTCCTTCCTCTTGACTCTCACCCCTTCCTCTTGACTCTCACTCCTTCCTCTTGACTCTCACCCCTTCCTCTTGACTCTCACACCCCTTCCTCTTGACTCTCACCCCTTCCTCTTGACTCTCACCCCTTCCTCTTGACTCTCACACCCCTTCCTCTTGACTCTCACCCCTCCTCTTGACTCTCACCCCTTCCTCTTGACTCTCACTCCTTCCTCTTGACTCTCACCCCTTCCTCTTGACTCTCACTCCTTCCTCTTGACTCTCACCCCTTCCTCTTGACTCTCACTCCTTCCTCTTGACTCTCACCCCTTCCTCTTGACTCTCACCCCTTATCTCTTGACTCTCACCCCTTATCTCTTGGCCCGGAGCTGTAATGGGGCTTGGTGAGCTTGCAACAACAACATATGAAAAACGTTGCTGCTAAATTTGTTGAAGGTATTCTTATACAGGTTGACGTGGGTGATTGAGCACAGGTGATATGGTTGTGTCACCTCACCTTGCACTTAAGACGACAACCACACCACCACCCCATCCCACCCCACACCCCACCCAACACCACCCCCATCCCTCCCCACCACACCCCCAGCCCTCCCACCACACCCCAGCCCTCCCCACCACACCCCACCCAACAC